CTTGGATATATGACTAGGTGGAAAAGAACGAATGTCTCCCTTCCCCCAACCTCCCATGGGATGGATTAAGAAAAAAATCAGACCTGGGAGAAGGAATGGATATGATGCTGCTTCCTCCAGCTTCCCCTGATCACCCTGTGGGGCAGGAGGCACACCCTGACATTCTGGAGACCCCCGTTTCAGTGCAGCTGTCTGGCAGAGGGGTGATGGACAGGGCAGGTTAAGAGCACTGCCATGGGAGGGAAGTTGGTGGTAACAAAAACCCAAACAAGAACTGCTCCCCGGGGTCACCACAGACAGGGTAACTGAAGGTACATGTGTGGCCTGGGCTATAGATAGGACAGGGGACGTGCCACAGGAAAAGCAAATACTGCTGAAGAGGATTTATTCCTCTTTTAATCCTTTTCTGCAACAATAGTTTAAAAGGGAAGGGTATTTTAAAAAATTACCGTTCCCTAATTTCATCTGTTATACCTGACGCATTTTTATATTTAACGTTAGCTATGAAAATGAGGTTTGCTTTGTTGGTGCATATTTAAAAAGCGAAATGATAGTGATTTATTATGTTTAGTAAAAATGTAAAGTTCACATAAAGCTACAATTATAGTATAAATAGATGAAAATAGAATTTAAAGGCCATTTCAGCGCAGAATTGATGCAACTGCCTTTCTGTTGCAGCTCAAAAATAAACTCAATATACCAACTGTGAGATTACTTTTTTCTAATGTGGATGTTCACATGGCCTGTAAAGGAAGTTTAAACATTTTGCATTTTCTTCTTTTTAATGTTTACAACTATACTCTTGGTATCAGAGCATTTAAAAAAAATTAAAAATTCAAGGTATTTTAGCCTCTGTTAGGAGGGGAACAATGTTTTCTTTATGAAGTTAACATTAATTTGACTGTCAAGAGTAAATGCTTGAATTTTGTATCTAGGTAGATGATTTCATAGATTAAGAGTGAAAAGGTTGTATTTTCTTTAACTACAAAACATTAATTTTCTACTAGTCCCAACAATAGCTATAACTAGAAGCTGCTCACAAAATAAAGTGTACAGATTGGAACAGACCTGACATTTTTTAAATATGGTATTTATCAAGATTTAAAATTTGCAGGCAGAAAAAAAAAATAAGATCTACTCGCACTGTCCCGGAACCACAAAGACAGTTATCATGTCCAATTGTGGTAACAAATAACAATAATAAATAAACATGAACTTTTGCCAAACAAAAAATTTAGGACTAGGAAAAATGATTCCTACTAAATAACCACTATTTTAAATTTAAAAAAAAGGTGGCAGCATGCAAAAATCCATCTTAGCATTTTATCATTCCACTACAAAACGACATACACTATAGGCCTTCGATTTGAAATGAATTTTAATTATGTATTTACAAGCACTTTTAAATATCTGTTATTATTTCAAGCTAATAAAACAGAAAGGCTGACACTTTGTGGTATCTACGTAACCCTTCAATGCCTGTTGTCCTTTGCAGTTGGCACCGGAGGCAGAAACTCCTGATGACCACGCAGGATTTTTGCACACAGCTCCCACGACCCACCTGCACTCTGCCTGCCACGGACAGGACCTAAGGCCTGGGCACAGGGCAATTTTATCACTGCCAAATCCCTGCCATGCCCACAAAGAGCAGGACTAGTTACCCTGATCGACTGCAAAGTTCCGTGACAGTTCCTGCTGCAGCCACACAGATGCACTTTATGAGCAAGCAACCAGAGCAATTTCCTCAGGCTGCTTTGCATCTTCTGCTTCCCTGTTCATTTAATTTCGTTTTAAATGAAAAGGAAACAGATTTGTCCCTGCTAAAGGACAGTGAAGCACCGAGGAGTCTGATTATTTTAAGATCTAAGTGCCTGAAACGTGGGTCCTCTGCCACTCACTTATGTTACTTGCTCACCAAATATTCTAGAAATAAGCTTACTTCTCTACTGAACTTCAGCACGTGGTAGGATCTCTCAAACCTGACGGTATGCAAACACTGGGGTTAATTATCAGAGAAGTGTGAAAGAGGAGAAGGATTTTCTAAAGGTCTAGTCTCTTTCTTCAAAGCTTTAATTTTAACCATGCCAGTCTGAAGTTTACATAGAACCTAAATACATCTGGAAGACTTTATTCTGGAATAATTGGGATGTAATTTCAATCAGGGATCAAAAATTTAATAACTACTTTACAAAAGTAAAAGAAAAGCAATGAAGTCATTAGTGTTCCAGTCAGGCTTCCCAGGAAAGCATTAAGCTAAAAATCTTTTGAGAACTCCTGAAAAGAAAGAAAAGGGTGAAGGAGAAAAGATTAAGTAGCAGCTCACCCTGAGAAAGAGGAGCTGATGCATCAGTGGGCACTGGCAAAGTGTGTGCCAGTATCTCAAATTCTCTGGAAGGGGAGCAGGGCACGTGACTACATGGCTTTGTGTTAAACTGGAAACCTCATCTTATTTTTCAGTCTTCAGATTTCACAGTATTGATCTCATTAAGCCACTGTTTTCACCTTGTAATTGCAGTAAATGGAGTTGCTGTGCAAAAGCTGTGGAGTGATGTTGCAAGTGAATGATGAGTATTTAATAATTGCCGTGGAACGACATTTAACTGCACGTCTAAACTGAATTGAGTGGTCAAATGCAGTGGTGACACGGCTGACTTGACAAAAACATCTCATTAGTCCTTAAAGTAAACACTGTAGGATTTTAAGTAGCAACACAGAAACTATTGCTGCTTATTTATAAAGGTAGGGAAGAAAAGCTGTCCCTGTCACCAAATGTTCTTTTTTTTTTGTCTATCAGTTAAAAAAAAAAGGAAAATCAATGAATCTGCTAGTCCTTCAGGTGAGATTTTTCTATGCAACTGCTGCCATCAAAATACAGCTGATGTGTTACTTTTATACATCAGATCAAGGACATGTGCTGAGCACCAAACAACAGTCTGCTTAGACAACAAAAAATTATGATCACCAACGTAGTTATAAATAAATGAGATACAAGAACTTCTAATATTTCATAAGAAATTTGCAACATTCTCCTATGCTTGCAATATAGCACAAATTGAGCAATTTTGGAAAAGATTAAGCAAGACAAGAAACAGCTTTTCTACTTAATGACAGGTTCTGAGAAAGAAAACTATGAAAGCAAACTTGCAAATTGCTAAAAATGCCAGACAAAAATAGAAAGCAAAGTGTCAAATGATCTTTGCCATTTGTTCAGACAAAAAAAAAGAGAACAAAAATGAAAAACTCTCTGAGCATAGATAATCTGAACCAATGTCCTACATGTGATCACAGCTTCCTTTTAATGTTGAATAAAGCAAAAGAGTAGAAGATGGGGGATGTTCAAAAATACTCTCTGCTATCATAACCTTAGAGTTGATTAACTGAAAGGGAAGGATTGAAATTTCAGCTTTCCAGTAACAGTCTGATGTCACTTCAAGCAAGATTGTGCCTCTGTATTTGTCTCTGACTACCTTAATCTGTATATTTGCAGTGAACATCAGGAAGACTTTGATCAAAACACAACATGCATTTTACACAACAAGGAAGTCTACAGAGAGGCACTACATTTACAAAAGCAATTGAAGGTGGTTTCAAAGGGAGTTGACAGATTAGAGGATGATGACACTGCTGCTGCAGTCTCAATGGAAATCTGGCTTGATCTAATTAACAACTACGAAGTAGAACCACAAGAAGATAATTCAAACATGATTTAAAGAAGTTATATTACCTTTTTACTAGTGTAGCAATGGAGCCTTTCCCTACTGATCACAGAACAAGTCACAGGTTCAACACTGAAGAAGAATAAAAGGCCTGATATCCTTAATTTACCTCCAGTATTTGAAATTGAAGTCTGAAATATCCGACTACAGAAGTAGAAAAGATCCACATATTCACATAAAAATAATAAAAAATTGTAAGAGTCCCACTCATGACAACTTGAGTGAATTGGTGAATCGAAATGGAAGATTATGTGAAGAGGTGACTCTGTGTTACTGAGTGTTCTGAGGTCCAAACAGAGCAGAGGCAATGCAGCACAGCACACAGGACAACCTGCATACTTCCCTTGACACATCTGTGTACATGCACAGAAAGCTCCCAGGTTATTCCCATCTCCTTTTTGTTCAGATTCCTCACCCTAGGAATTTGTTCAGATTCCTCACCCTCCTCACTGGGAGGAGAACTTCCCACCACGGCTGAACTTCTCCAGGCTTGCAGTTTAAGGCAGCAGCAGTGTCAGGGACTGATTTGTGCTGACATTTCCACAACTGTCGTACGAGGTGACTGCTGCCTGCACACGGCCTTTAGCACAGGACTGTCTGTGAGCCTGAGCTCTGATGCACCTTTTGTACTAAAAATACTTTTACTGGCACCTGGGGACATGGTTTAGAGGTGGACTTGGCAGTGCTAGGCTAATGGTTGGATTTGGTGATCTGAGAAGTCTTTCCCTACCTAAATTGGTTCTGTTGGTTCTCCTGTCTTTGAATGACAACTGCTGTCACTGAGAGAATGTAACTTGTACTTATGTGCACATGTATGCTTATACACACGTGTACAATGACATACAATCATCCTGCCAGGCAATCATTCTGACATTCTCCACTGGTTGCATTTTTTGGGTGGGAACTACAGCAGTGATTTACTTCATTTACTGAAAAATGCAGCAGCCATTTGGTACCATTCTGAGGATTGTCTGACCACCTGAAAGACAAGGAGATAGGGAATCTCCAAATAAGTGAACTGTTTTATTCTCTTTGCAGTTATCTTCCTGCCTTTTAACCTTTGCTCACAAAAGGAGGAAAAAAAACCCCAACCCTTCTTATTGCAACTGGCAGTATATATTTCCTTTTAATATTATTAGATAGAAATAATACTACCTGAATAGCAAAGTGGCAACTGCAACTCAACACTTTCTTCAGGATACAGTAGTTATACAGCACATAAGTCTCTCTATTAATTCAGGCATTTCTCCTCTCTGGTCCTCAACATGTTCTGTGTATTTTTACCTTTGTGTCATAATCTTGTAGGCGTCTGGCAGGAAGCATTCTGTGTTCTCCATCTGGAAGGGGTCAGCATCACAGATCTTGTCGTCTGTCCGCCCATAGTTGGCACTCTCTATCATGATGACATCGCTGCCCGGGCACCGCAGGTCGATGGAGTAACCTTCGCAGGAGAGCTCCCTCCTCACCAAACCGAACGGGAGTGCTGCCCGGCTGAAACCTAAGGAGGGAAAGAAAGGGGGAAAGGGGATTGAACCCAAAGGATAAATGGCACTGGACTCCTCCTTTTCTGTCACACCAGCACTGATCCATCAGTGTGCTGAAGGCAGGGCACCCTTACGCGGTTTGACCCGGTACCACGTCAAGTGGAGCATCTTTCATGGAACTGTCACATCCTTGCATCACTGCTGGGTCCTTAAGCTGGGAAAGGAGGAAGTTCCTTGTCACTGCTTCTAATCCTGGTGCAGGCAGACAGTGGAGCCTGTCTGCATGACTACACTGCACGTTCCACTGCCCACCTCTTTTCTCTCTGCTCCTGTCTCCACTCCTTGGGCACAGTCAGACAGGCTGTGTCTGAAGGCAGCAGAGCAGGCAGGATTTGCAGAAGTGATTTTAAAAAAAGAAAACAAAACAACCACAAAAAAAACTAAAGCCATAGTTCCAACTTCCAACTTCATTAGTCTTTCTTACTTTGTGTCTCACTCTCTCCAGGAAGAGCTGGTTACTTTTGCTTAGCTATTTTGTGACTTGACCCAATAGACATGCTGATACTTTACCTGGTTGAACTTCAGTGCCCCTCACTATGTCTTTTACATAAATCAAACCACATATAGATAAGATTTTGAAAAAATATAGCAATGACTAGTACCACAAATTGCAGATTTGAACAATATCTCCCCCTCCCAAAAATGATATATGTGTTTCACAGAATTCTCATTTTTAAAATGCTTTTTCTACATAAGAGAATTTCTAAAAATAAGTAACTTCCCTAGTGAAGCAGCACAAAATACTTTAGAAACAAAACAAGGTTCAGCTATTCATCCATGTGTTTAGTCTTTTAGAGACATTTCTTTATGCAAAAAATATATTACATCAGAAGAAAAACTATCTGTATACTGATGGATTATTATCAAACAGAGTATTCCTGTTTCTCACAAATCTGTGTGCATTACTGCCTTTTGGAAGACAAGCTGGGTAACATGGTAGTGCCAAAATCCTATTTCCTCAAAATAGTAAATCCTTCCTAAATTTTTACTAGAATTATAGATATTTCCTATTTTTTAAAAATGTCTTTGTAACACAGTAGCACAAGGCCATTAATATTTCAGTGCAGGCTGTTGGAGACCAGTTGTGACAGCACAGAGGAACAGCTCCTACATATGGAAAGCTGGAGCTCTACGGTGTTTTGAAGGCAAAGAAAATAAACTTTTCTTAAAAAGTATGATGTGTTAGAAGAAGCAAGGAAATAAGATCTAAAAAAACCACAAGACAACTTGAGATAACCCTTTGATAGGAAATTTTCACACGAACCAGAGGCTGTCACTTTTTCTATTGAATTAATGATCTGTGGATTAAAACTCCTACCGTATGAAGATGATTATCTGTTCAGGCTGCAAAAATAAAGTTTTTTATAACTATCACACCAGATAGAGCCAATCCCCCCATCCACCCCTCCAGTACCTGCATGTCCCTGCCTTCCCCTGGCACCAGCACCAGCCTTAGTACCCCTTGTGTATGATCTGACACAAGGGGCTGGTGTGACCCCACTTCAGAAGAACCGGTGAGTTCCAGAAGGAGCAGCTCCTGCACTGGTTGTGGATTCCCCTGGCATGGGGGAAGCAAAAGGCAAGAGCACAGTGACCAGCTCTGCCTTTACCTAATATTCTGTGGGATCATCTCCTACGTGAAAGCAGCCCCGTTACCCTGCCAGCACGTTTCAGGCTTTGCTGATGGGGGAGCTGGGAAAGCACCAAGTGCCATCCCCAGCTCACTCCTGGCCACCAGTTCAGCCACACATACCACGAGCAGTAACACACACTATTATTAGAGGCTTGCTGAAGTGTCACGAGCTGAAAGCTGGGAAGAGCTGAAACACGAATCCATCACATTTACACCCTCCATGTTCCTCCCATGCAGCAAATTAATACAAGGAAGGCAGAGGCTGCTCCTGGCTCAGCGAGGGCGTGAGGTGGGCACAGGGTGGGCACAGCAGAGCCCCCCCCACGGGCACACAGCAGCTCCTCTGATCAGTGACCACTGTGACAGCCACGGTGGGACCCAATGTAATGCCACTAGTCACTGCCATTGCTGCATCCCCCTCCTGTCAGCTCTAGTGCTGTCCACGATAACCTCACTCTTCCAGCTGGCAGCACTGGTGCCCTCATCTCCTGCACTCACCACGTGTGGCACCACCATGACCTGGCTGGGGAGCCCACTGCTCCCAGACTCCTTGGGTTTCCATCAGCAAGGAGGGGAGCAGCTCCTACAGCTGCCCAAAGAGGTGTCTGACCAGGGCAGGAGGGCAGGGGCAGGGTGGGCAGGGCACGTGCCACACCAAGCTCCCTGAGATGGGCACCGACCTCACAGATCCTGCAGCACAGGCTCCACTTCTGCCTAGGAATATTCTGAATTCAAACACAAGACCTCTGCAGCTTGCTACAAAGAAATCAGCTGCCTGCAAATCTTATTTCATCATCTATGGCAACCACTATAAGGACTATGAATGTTTTATCCTGCAATTTTTCCCCCTGCAGGCATCCGTGAGAAGTTCTGTATTAGAACTTCTGTATTAGAACAAACATAAAAAAATACTAGAGCAAGGTTAGATCACTTCACAGGCAACAGAGGACACACCTGAGATTGCAATGTAGGTGTTACATTGCAAAAGCAGAAAGCAATAAAGCAAAACAACGCAGTGTATGCTAGGTGGGAATGCTGCTCTAAGGAATCTCTATGGCGCAGAAAGAATTTTAACTAAATAAAATAAATAAATTTAAAGTCCACTGGCAGAGCTGCTGTGATCTTTATGCTGAAGCTTTATTTGTAATTTTCTCCTATCACCAAAGAAAAAATAAGTGTATCAACAAGCAAAGTGTAATTCAATCCATCTTGCAATCCTGACAATCGAAGAAAGAACTTGTGGGAGGCCCTGTGAGCGAAAAATCAATATTGCAGCTTTGTGCCGTGCAAATGTGAATACTGCCAAATAGCAGTGCTTAGGGTAAAATGAACTGTTTTGCTCCATTTTCTCCTCTCTGAACAAATGATTTTGAAACGACAGCTTCTTTTGGAGCTATAAAACGTCAAGCAATAACTCCCCGTGCTTTAGGCAAGTGATTGGAATAAATACCTCTTGGCAACAGGTGCAATGACTTAGGACTGAAATTCATTTACATTCAGGAGATAATTCCCGATAAACAGATGCACTGCCACAGGATGGAAGTCTGAGCAACCGCCATGTGAATGCTTCAGCATCATTCCAGAGTTTCTCAGGCTCCAGTGTGTGGCTCTGTCAATAATGGATGTTGTCACCAGTAACTTTGGATCTCCAATGCAATTCCCCGTGAGTGTTCTCAGCACTGCATTTTCTAACCAACCTGCACTCAACCTTCTCTTGCCTCACTGTACCTGGAACAAACCTATTTTGTTTGGCAGCCAAAATCAACGTTCCTGCTAAAGGTTTCAAGGCAAGCTGTGCCCCGGCTGACAGGGCTCCTGCTGCTGCCACCCAGAGACACAACAGCTTCCCAGCTGCAAAGACCTTCCTGGGGCTTGGGCTGGGACTTCCAGCACAACCTAAACATGACTCGAGTCTCTTACCACACGCACCATATGCTGTCTCTGATTCACTCTCTGTGTACATTAATCACTGTTGGATGTGACTGGTTTTGTTTTTTTGTTGTTTTTGTTTTTTTTTCAAAAATGGAAGAAGATTAATATCTAATGAGAAAAAGAGCATTGTTTCTGTCCTGCTGACCATTTTGATTATAGAAAAGCTTCCTGCCAGACATATGTTTCCTGCACTCCATATCTGCCTACAGATTAGTTGAGTGCAGGCTCTTTACTGAGAGGAGAAAATAAACTGCTTTTGCAAAATCGCGTTTCCGAGGAAAAAAGGCAGAGGGGATTTTTAGTGGTAATATACATTCTTTAATGCTTTATTGATCAATGTACACAGAAAAACAAAATGAAAGGAAACATCACAAACGAATACCTTTCCTCTGATATTTTAGCATATCAAACAAAAAAATACAAGTTCTATGAAAGGACTGTAACTCAGAATCACGTCTCAGAAATATGGTAAATTCACATTTGGCTAAAAATTTTTAACTCGAGTTTGCAATGCCTTATTTACCATTCTACTGTCTTGGTTCCTCCAGAGAAACTATTTGTCTTTACAAGGATAACCTAAATTTGTCAAAGTGCAAAGAAAAGTTAATAATTCACAGCATCCTGCCCACTTGCATACCATCTTTCTGAGCTGTCAATAATAAGAGAGTGAGCTAAGTTTGGTAGATAAAAGCAAAAAGGCACCACCACATTTGAATGTTCACCCCATACAGAGGAAAAACAGTGGAATGTAAACAGGCTAACATCAGTACTCAACATCAGAAGCAAGGAACCTTTGATTAAAACTTAAAGCATAGAGAAAGTCAACATGGAAATACAACATTATTTAAAAAATGCAGATACTTGAAGAACTGAGAATCCAAAACAAATCTCTACAGAAATAAATATATATATATATATATGTCTCTGTGAGCAAGGAAATATTGCTTCCTGTGTTATTTGGCTGTAAGAGAAAGGTCTTTTGAGAAGAGCACATCTTTTCAAGCAGAATGTTTACAGTTGTCTCTTTCACAATCTCTTTTATTTTACCATATCATGCAACGTGATGATTTAAGTTCTACACAAGATGAAGTGATGCGTCCCGGGCAGCATTTCAATAATATATATTTAACAAATGCAAAGCCCGACGAAAACTGTGCTGAGAATTCCCTCCCTCTCCAGCGAAGTGCATGCGTGCACACACGGGAGGGTGCAGGGAGACAGCTGAACACACTCTGCCATCTGAAAATCATGCAAATGCTCAACATGGGCCCTGCAAAGCTTTTACAATTCCACAGACAAGCCTCAGCATCCTGCAGTTTCTGAAGAATCCCATGAACTCTGTCGGAGGAGACTTTTCTCCCCGTCTCTCAGCACTGTATGTATTTCACA